AGTGCGAATGTGAAGCCGATAACGACGCTGACGTTGAGCAAGCCTGACAAGTCCAACCATTGTACTTCTCCATTCAGCTGAAATAAGATTGGGCGTCTCAAAGCACATCTCGTACACATCCATTTTTCGCTTGTCTTGTTTAACACATTGACGGCAATGGAAGCTCTTGCACGTTTCACTTTGCAGTCCAAGTCTGGCATTGAGACGCGTTTGTGTGTTTCAACCTTTCTCTCTATTTTTCCAGCGCATCTGTGCGGCTTCTTAAGAGCATGCTTGCTTTTATTCTACATACACAGATATACACAGATACATTATCACATGACTGCAAACGACATGGTTAACCATATGGTCAAATATGCTCCAGTTTAGCAGAAGTTTTCCAAGCTCAGCGAATTGGCAGCTCGGTTCATTCCTCGTTTTCTCCTATTCTCATGCATATGTCAATAAAGAGTCGCAGAAGTAAATACAAACCTATATGGCACAATGTATGTTTTCGCGGTAAAACCAAGTCAAAAGTAATTTTCCATCCATTACAGACAAAACGAGTAATTTTTTTTTCATTAGCATCACACATTCTTGACATCGGAAATCCACTACAACTACTTCCCCGATTGACTTCTACGCTCTATATTGCTGAAACTATTCTGTGACATTCATGATTTGGTAGTTATCACTCGAAGCTTGTTGCGGTTACGCTCGCAAAATCGCACCTATCTCACTTGGCTAAAAAACCAAAACGCGCACTGTCGTCAATGCGTTGAGCCTGTTGCATTAGGTTGTCTCATAAATAGTGTCGCTTTTTTCAACCAAAAAATTTTCATCTAAATCCCATGCTTTTACATCGTGTCATATACCATTCGAAAGAGAATTGTCTGCTCTACAAGATGCTATGTTCCTTCTTCCACCTCTGTTCCAGGGTTTTCAAATTTTAGGCCTGCGAAATGGGAGGTCCAGCCGACAAAAATTGACCAAACCGACAACTATCTCTAACTTTATCTTCCCTTGGGAGAAATCAATCAATGATGTACCCTCTACATGACCTCTTCTAACATTACACTATTAGGTTTCCCAACAAGTCGCGTCGTTCCATTTCCAGACCTGGTTTTTCAACCAGAACTCGACGGTCGAGCACCATTACCTGAGATCTAGGTCGAAATTTTTTTATAGCCGAGACATTGAAAAACTAGTAGAATTTAAAGAACAAGTCATGACTAAGTTAGGAATGTACGCCTGGTTGATTTTCTCATCTTCTCAGGGATAATTTTTTTCAAAGAAATGCGGTCACTTTCGTGGATAAAGCACCTTATTCCTAAACACCTAAAATTCGAACTAATTCCCAACAAACATAAAAACAAAACAAATGAGCGAATAGAGCAGAAGAAGTGCTCACAAAAGGAACACCACTCGATATGAAACAATGGCGTTTACGAGGAACAATTTTAATTTGAAAATTGCTATGGCTTATCGGTCAGCCAATTCGAAAAGAAACACGGCAAAGCTTTTTCGGCAACCTAAGAGTGGAATGTTCAGAAGAGGTCATGAGTAAGTAGGGTACATCATTGATTGATTTCTCCCAAGGGAAAATAAAGTTAGAGCTAGTTGTCGGTTTGGTCAATTTTTGTCGGCTGGACCTCCCATTTCGCAGGCCTAAAATTTGAAAACCCTGGAACAGAGGTGGAAGAAGAACATAACATCTTGTAGAGCAGACAATTCTCTTTCGAATGGTATATGACTGGTGTAAAAGCATGGGATTTAGAAAAAAAAATTTTTTGGTTGAAAAAAAGCGACACTATTTATGAGACAACCTAATAGTTAAAGCAACAGTTCCAGGACGAATTTACGAGGTAAATACCGTTGATAATGTAGTTATAGCCCACAATTTGACCGACAGTAATGAAAAAACCAAAGAAAAACGCGGAATAAGGCTTTGAACAGGAACTCACCCTCTGCCCTTAGCGATGAGAGAAGACGCGTGCTGGACGAGTTGTCCGAACCTGCGCTCCAATTGCAATTGCTGGCAAATAGCCATAATAGTTGGCCATTTGCCAACTCTTGCAATTGGAGTGCAATCTCTAGCTCATTCACTAACAGTTCGATCACCCCTCAAACTACTGCAATTCGACCCTTCCATTTAGCTGGGGAGCCCTTCCATTTAGCTGGGGAAGCCTTGATTCCGCTAATAACTGACTGACTTGGTAGCCATTACAACAGATTACAACATTACATAACACCACATAACATAACAACATTAGAACAACAAAAAAAAGAAGCAATTCCACTGCAACCGGCAGGATCAGATTGATTACTTTAAAGGACAGAGTTCAAATACTCCCTGTGGTCCCGAAACGAGCACGAATGCCTCCGTAGCCAATCACGGCTGGCAAGTGGGCGGTCCCGAAGAAATTTCCAACCACACCCATCTTTGAGGATTTTAACGCCCTTTTTGGGCTTTTCCCAGGTGAGTTTTCTTTATAACTTCACTTCAGATGTTTTCCAATAGGGCCTGCGTATACTTTAGTGCCATTAGTATTGAAAGAAGCAGACCCTGCTGGGACTGTTGCTTGAAGGTGAGCAAGCGGTGCGCTCTGGACGTCTGCCAATAGGGCAAACTACAGCGAAAACAGCAGTGAGTAAATGAGAAATCTTATGTCTCACCTGGAGAGATGCTAGCAGTCACTGACGGAGAGTGAGAAGCACAGCGAAACATGGAAATTACGTAAAATTAGCTCTGGGAGCTTTAATCCTACCATGTATGCTGGGCCGAGATAGCCAATATCGATTATGTTCAGCTGATAAGAAAGCCTCATTTCCTCAGAAAAATAAAAATCCTTCACTAGAGAAGGACCGAAGTTGAAGAAACAAACAGCACCATAGTCAACAGCAGTAAACGCGTACAATGCTATAAGAATGTAGCTTCCCTTCCCGAAGAGAAATCGAGCGGTGGGCCTGAAACAAGTTCTTTATGAAGCATAGTGGATTTCCACAGAACTAAGTTGTTTTGTACAAAAGTCTCACATTCGCACGTACTCCATTATGAACATTTTACTTTCAGATAGATAGAGATATGTGCTAATACACGTATTCTAATTTCAGCGCTAGGGTGAACCTCTAAGCAGGAACGTGTGGTCTTCATTGAATTAAAAATTTAGGATATTCCCGAATAATGGGACGAAATATGTTTTTTTTTGACATGTGAAAAAAAGTTTACGAAGCATCGTCGTGCTTTCAGCTCGTGTCAGCTCTGATGCCTGACCACACTTTCTTCTTCCTCTTTTACTTAGAAATATGTATACATGACTGGTTGCTGGAACAGACATGTGGAGAACACGCGCAACACCATTTACTGCTGCGCAGGAAGCTGATGCGTACTGTCCAAAAAAGAGGACCTCTACGTTCTTGCTGAATTTCTGATTCATGATTGCATTATTGCTTCACGTCAACAATTGATACAAGTGCAATATCTTCTGATTGCTGCAAATCACAGTGTTATTCTTTCTTCTACATCTATTAGGCTGTTCGGAAAGTAATACAGGTTTTCGACCTCCATTTTCAACGGGGCATATTTCCATTAGTATTCAACATTTTTAGTCGGAACAAAAACTATTGGAAACTAATTAACCTTCTCAACAAGATGCACACTCACTTGTATCCCCCACATGAAAAATGAGCGCTTCTGGAGGCGATGAAATCGTCGAACGTCGTTTCCAGATCACTTTGAACACTGAAGTATTTCTTACTCAAGAAGCTGTCGGGATGGTTGGAAAAAGTGTTGGTGAGCGAGAGGTCCAATGAGTACGACGTGTTGAGCAAAGCTTCGTATGCCAGTTTGTCCAATCTTTGCGAGGTCGTTTATGGGACATGTGGCTGAGCGCCACCATGAAGGAGGGTTGTTTCATTTCTCTCGGTTGACGAAGTTGGTGTTTCTAGAGCATCTCATCGGTATGCTGGAGAGACATTGGTGTTGTGTCAAATTCACCTGGTTCCAAGAGGTGTGGTGCATCAGTCCCGTGGGAGACCGCCGAATGTTCAGCTCAACATTGACCTTCTACAATTTCGGCTTTAGATAACTTTTTGAAGATTCATCGCGGTCTAACTTGTGAAGAAATGGCTCCCTATAGTCGTGAACAGCCCATTTCCATTGTATATAACAATGCTTTCCTTATACTGGTAGTTTTTGTCATGTAAAATGGAAAGAAACGATTTCCCAAATGAACGGTTCTGCAGCTTCCCAGTCACCCCATGCGGCAACCCGACTTTTCAGCTTTTCACCACCCCAGCTTTTTTCAAATGCCACAATATTTTCAGTATACCTACTGCTAGTCCTACTGCTTGCTATAGCACAGTTAGTCCGGAATCATCTTCTACGGGAATCTTCAGAAGGCCGTCGTCAACAGCAGAAGCATGCTCATGACTCCCCTCACCTTCACTATGGAATTCTTCTAAACCAAAATTTGGAGCCAAGGCTGTGCTGCGCTTTTATTGGTGCTTCCTTGGCCCCATCCTTCAGTGTTATTTCGACAGGTCTATGGAGCACTACTTCAGAGTTTCAGCACATCGAAGAAAACTTGCCCAAACCACTGTTTTGACACCTTCAGTTCAATTCTATAAAAGCTCCAAGATGACGAGTCAAACTGAAACTCAAAAGGAGATAGAGTAGGCTTACCAATGATGTATAGGGCTTCAAGTCTCAAAGGGAATTTAGGTATAAAAATATTCCAAGTATGCACGGCATCAAACCCGCATCACTTTGCAAACAACCTAAAACTTCTGTTTCTGCGTCTGCCATGTGGCAGAAACAGCATACGAAACCGATGCTCAAGAACCCTTTTCTATTCGCCTCTCACTATTTATTGTCTCAAGTCCCGAACCAACTTTGGGACACAATCGATTTGATTACATCAGCAGAATTGTCTTCAAAAAATCTCCAGCCTACACTATTCATCCTTCCGAGAATGAAATCGAAGTCATAAGAAAGGGATGTGCGGCGTTAGCAGGACGAAGATAACTTGTCGTTCAAATTGAATTCTTAAAGGAAGCGATTACGATAAGGAATTTTCGCATCGGGGGAGAACCTGCGCCACACGGAGCAATTACTTGGCTGCCAAGGAAGCGATGTGTGGCGCTTCCACGGCGAAAGGTGTTGTGGTTGCTGAGCAGGACGGGGTTAACACGTCCAAACAACGTCATTCTTTACCGTCGCTCATCCATGGTCGAAAATGAAAGGGCAATCAAAGGGGTACTATTTTGCTTATTTTTGACGGATTTCTTTGCTTTTTTCGCCATTGGCGTACTATTGAGACCCTCACGTCCCCTCTAAACCCCTTTGAGATCTATCGTAATCGCTGCCTTTAAGAATGGAAATTTCTTCTTAAGCTCATAGCATTCGCACCTGAGCTCTGTTTTTTTGCTCTTTTCCAGAGGTTCAGCATTGAGCGCAATTTGAATATATTCGCAGGAGCGTTACATTACATTGTATCACTTCTCTCATAGTTTTTATTGCCCTAAAGAGTTTTGCTGTCGCCTGGCTTCTTTGTTCATCCTATGGGTTTATGTTAATTTTTTTGATTTGTGAGTGCTTTTATATACAAGTAACCCAATGCAGTAATGGCACGCCTATATAATGTGTGCTGTTGCCTATATAATGTGTGTTGTTACTATTGAATGAGGAAGTAGGTTTTCTCTGAAAAAATGTAGATCCGCTAGAGATTGCTTTTTGAGTATTTTGGATTTTCAAAAAGAAAGGAATTCGAAAGTGCTCAAAGATATAAAATATTGGCGGTTGAAGCGAATGGCTTACTTCTGACAGCTGTTGCCATTCCCTTCAATAGAAAGGCTTTCTTGCATACCGCAGGCAAGCCGATCCTGTCATTCAATCGTGTTTGCTGCCTTTGAGCGATCCACTTCAGCTAGTATGTTCTTCTGTCATGAAGATAATAACAATGTAGGTACGCTTCAAACCTAATAGCAGATAAGAATCACTACCCATTTCATTTTTATTTCATTTGCGTTCCATCGTCAGCACCATACTCCCTTCGACCGCTACTTTGCCTAAATTTCCTGCGAATGTGTGTAGAGGCTGTCTGAAGAAATGCGATAATGATCAATGGGCATTTCTGTCTCAACATCATTAGCATCAAATATTATTCGACCGCTAAATCACGCTGACATTCAAGGCATGGTGGTTGTTTACATACACCACTTTACTCTGCACTCTATCGCGCGTATCAAGCGGTGAGCTTCAGCAGAAGTGGGGAGGCTATGAAAAGTCGGCTAGGGTATTTCATAATGCAAATCAGCGTTCGTACAGCAGTTAGCTTTTTTAGCGGTGGGTTAAAGTGCTGCTTAGTTTCACGGAAGCCTACCGCTTTATGTGCGCGGTAGCGTGCGGAGCTAAACTGGTAAGACCTATAATCAGCTGTGTGGACGGAGCGACCGATCGATTTTAGTGGTTTCTCAACAAGATAATCGGTTAACTTCTCACCTACATACACTCACATTTGTCAAACACGGGACAATTTTTAGACCACTTAATGTGTCTGCGCTTTACACCAACCCTAGCAACAAAGAAGCCTTGCAAGCCGTTTCAGAAATGCTTGACGAGCATGCAAGAAGTTTGACAACGTTTGGGTTGAGCAAAACGCAAATAATGGTTCTGATCAAGAATGTTTGAACTGCAATATATTTAAGTGGTCTGGAAGATATTTCTCACAAATTAGAGGGCTGGCAATGGGACAGCGGTTAGCACCGGTTCTGGGTGTCTGCTTCATGAGTAGAATCGAAC